AGGTGAGTTCCCCATGTTCTATTTTTGGTGTCTTGTGTTTCCTTTCTGTGGGTAAAGAGCTACACAYGCTCCACTCTCTGTGCAGCTGAAGCTCTGCTGTAGCTGCTCTGAGTTTATGTGCAGCACCATCAGCCCCAGGAGCAGGGCAAGGCTTTTGCTGCAGGTGTTTGACCCCTGCTCTCTGATTCCTCTTTGTCGGGAATCTCTTCACCTGGAGCCCATATTTCTCACAGAGCACGTTTTGTAAAGGGTTTCTATGTGGCTGAAAGGGCTKAGTCTCCCCTCTTGGGCCCAAATCAACCTTTTCTGAAGATAGATGCGGTGGGTGTGCTCAGAGAGAAGAAATTGCCCTTGCAGTCCTATCAGGGAGAGAAATCTGGAATGGTTCCCTTTAATCCTGGCATTGTTTGTGGATACATCAGCAAATGTGACCGCTGTCCTTGGAGCCTTAAGAACCTTCAGAAGGAAGGTTCTGATTCATAGTATGGTACTTAGTGAATTCTGTCCATTTACTAGCTCTTACCTCAAAGAAAATAAAACKGTTGTTAAAAAAGTAATTTCTGTTGCAAAAATATTTTTTATTTTCTGTATCTGGAAAGCACCACAATTAAACTTTGTGTGAAAGCTTTGTTGCATTACTGATGTAATTTCAAAGCTATGCCTGCTTTGCCCCAGATTTAACTCTTTGATGGCATGTTGCTGGTGTGGACATAATGATCACCTCTTTCTCCTTTTCCAGAAATCTATCGGATTGTTTCCCAGAAGCAGATGTCTGACAGACGTGAGAATGACATGTCCCCAAGCAACAACGTGGTTCCCATCCACGTCCCTCCAACCACTGAAAACAAACCAAAGATGCARTGCTGTCAGAATATATAAATTGTCCATTCTTTCCTAAAAGGCTGTGTATATTCCCCAGGTCCAAGATTTAAATATATTTGTAATTCTTGTGGTTACATTCTTGTGTTTAGTCACTGCTTATTCCTTCTCMATGAATTTCTCCATGTCTTAAACACTTGGATTTCAGTGTTTGTCAGTCTCTTACTTGGATGTGGCTGCAGTATTTTCCCTACACCGACCTGTCGGTTTGGGCTCAGTAAATTGTTTGGAACTCAACTGATCCCTTCCCAACATGATGCCCGCTAGTCAGAGCACAGACACCTTTGGAGAGCACTTGAAGATGTTATCCTGCTCCTCACACAGYAATTAATGTCAGGTTAATGAGGAAAGTATCTCAGGGCAGGATAATCTTTCCTTGTCTTAAGGTGTTGAATTCTGCATCTAAGGCTTGGTGAAGCTCTGAAGTGCAATTTTATTGTAAGTTAAATGTTTTTGGCTGCATCTTCAGATTGTCAAGTGAAGTTTTATAGAATATTATGGGGGAGAAAAGAGAATTTCTTGTGAACAAGCAGCAGGTTCTGGCTACCTGTGAGTGAGGTGCTGTGGCTTGGCACCTGCTGCAGAGGTTGATGTGAGGCAGAGCTGCTGGGACCCCACAGAGGTGCCCCTTAAAGGAGGTGAAGGCAGGAGTTGTGTCCCTGAGGAAGGGTCACTCMAGCTCTGGAACATGGCAGCATCTTTGTGCTGCCAAGACTTGGCCTCCACAGTGCTGGTGGTATCAGGATTTGAGGATGCCTTTTTGTCTTTCATGGACACACACTTGAAGGGTGTTGTCATGTATGACATGTCACATCTATTAATGCATGCCACATATATTAATATATTCAAGTGCTTGAGTTGATGAATTAATAACTTCCACTACCTGGCCTTAGTTTTCAGTTCCGGTTGATCCAGTATTTTAAAATTATTCCAGTGGTTTGCTGAATGTTCTTCAACAAAAGCCTTTGGAGTAGTTTTGTCACTGGATGTGTCCCTGCTATGGTCTGCTGCTCCATGCCAATCCAGTCCAAGCTGCTTGTTCAGGGATACATGAACTGTGCCTTCTGTCCCTGCACGTCACCCGCTCTGTGCTGTTCCCAAACACGCCTGGCACTGGCACTGGGGGCCACAGCCACTGCATTGCCCCAGGATTAAAGGAGCTGGCTGTTGTGTAAATGCCTGCAGTTATTTATGCAATTACAGGGAAGGAACTGATTGTAGGGGACGTTTCTCAAACTCTGATATGACCCAGATGTGGTTGGCACTTCCAGCTGTGTTCCGTTCCCAACCTTTCTGTCTCGCGGTGCTCATGATGTGTGAGGCACACGGAAGGCATTGCTGTAGTCGGTCACTTCTTGTTTTTTACTCCATTTCTCCTCCTGGTATTAGTTCTGAAGATGCTATTTTGATCTGTTTGTAAATTACTTTGTATTTTATGCATGTACTGTACTTTGATTCATTATTTTTTTAGATTGATTTAAAATATATTCATCCATGATTCTAATAAAGAATTACAGGGGACAACTCACTGTGATGTTGGGTGCACTTTTTGGGAGAACTGGGGTTTGTCTTGAAGTTTTTTTACCAATGAGCTTCTTGMAAGAGGCAGTGAGAAAACAGTGAAGTGGAAGTGCCCGGGAAAAGGAACAGAAAGGGTTGTGCAGCACAGTTGCCATCCCTCAGAGCAGCTCAGAGGTTCCTGGGCCTGCTGCAGTTCACAGCCAGGGCACTTTAGCAGCTTCGGGAAGCTTTGAAGCTTAGAAAATTTTGTGGGTTCGCTCACTCAAATCTCAGAATGACTTTTACAAACCTGTTTTTCTTCCTCACGTTGTCACCAGGGAAGAAATCCAGTGGGAGACRAACTCCTRCCTTCTGCAGCAAATGATGGAAACYTTGGATCYCTCTGTGGTRTCCTGGTGAAGAGGTGCCCGTGAGCACCAAGGGGGCAGCACTGGTGSCCATGGAGACAGATAAAAGGGTGAGGTGTGACACCAGGCCATGCGGGAGCTGTTCTTGTGGCACATTCTCTGCCCAGACTGGAGCAGATTTTGGAATTAATCAATTTCCTGTGGCAGCCAAGTTCTAAATTTGTCAGCTGGAAGTGCAGGATGATTTTCACTGTTTCCTTTTCTCATTCCTGTAGGCAGGTGACTCGGCTCCCCTCTCACATCAGTCTGAGTTTTGCGTGGTTTTAGGCAAAACTCTTCCTCCTGCAGGTTTGGTTTCAAAATGGAATTGGAGTGCAGATGGTGGGAGCACAAACCACTGTGGGAGGCTGAGGACTTCTGCAGCAAAATCYAGTGGGGTCTGTACAGAGAGGGAACTTCTCACCTGGGAAGTCCTTTGTCTCCTGTTTGGGGCTCTGTGCTGTGTTTTCCTAAGGACTGCAGGGCCCTGGCAGTGGATCCCAGCTGGCCAGGGCTGGGTGACATTCCTGGGACAGAAGGGTGCTTCCCATGGTGTTTTGGGAGAGACAGTGCAGATCTTTATTCCATCTGAATGCTTTCCAATGAGGGATTGTCCTGTTCAGCTGCTGATTAATCATTCTGTCCATAAYTGGCACTACTTGTGTACTGGAGTGCCTCCTCCCTGCTAATGGGAGACAAGGGATGTAACAGACACTGCTTTGGGCCCTGYAAGGAGCTTCCTGAGATTCTGGGAATTCCATAGAATGCTTCAAAATGGGCTTTGCTTGCCAAAAGCTTTTGCTGTCATTTACTTACCTGAAAGCCCCAACTCCTAACAATTACGCAGCGAATGTCATCCTGCCTTTGATGGGAGTTGAGGTTCTGACTCTTAAGCAGAAAGGACATGGAATTGTTCTGATTTAAAGGCATTTTTATTAAGCTAGAATTACTTATTCTATCAGTTCARACCTGATGAATTTCCAGCCTTAAATAGCTTATTGAGTGTGGCTTGTCAAATAAGAAGATTACACGCCGGGCTTTAGTTAACAAGATTTTTAGAAATATGAAGCACAAATACTGAAAAGCTTCAGCACGTAGCAGGGCTGCCTCACCTGGGACTCTGAAGGTGTTTCTGCTGCAAATCTGTGCTCTTGATTTATTGATTGAGCTCCCTGGGAGCCACTGGGCTGCCATGTGTCCTGTGCCATCCCTGCTGGGTGACCCCGGGTCCTCCAGTGTCCCCCCAAAGGCCTGGCACTGCYTGTCACTGGCCCAGGGCACTGTCACCTCACATGGTGGGTGGGTGTGCAGAGGCTCTTCTAGGTGGGATTGTGCATTCTCAGGAGTCTCACGAGGTYGAACTGCCCAGGAATTGGGAGAAGGGAGCACAGAGCCACTTACCTTTGGTTCACTGCAGCTTGGAATGACAGCAGTGGGTTTTCTGAGCAATCCCACCAGTTCTGTCCCACTCGGTGCCGGGGGGTTTTGGCTGAGGGGAGCAGCCATAGCACCTGGAGAGCTGCGATCTGTGCAGGGCTGGAAGTTCTGCTCTGCAAATGAGTACCTTGGAGAACTACACATTGAGAGAAATTCAATTTATTTTGTACAAGGTAGGATACCTTTGCACAGTGAACAAATATATTACAAATCTGTCTTGCCTTAAAAAAGTATTGCCATTTTGGTGCCTGTTTCCTAAGCTAACGCTGATATACAAGAAGGTATTCTTTTTTTGTTGGTTTTGTTGTTGGTTTTTTTTTTTCCTGTTAAGCTCTATGCACATCATTGCATTTGGTTTCAAAATCCTGCTTTGAAAAAAAACCAAACCAAACAACTGAGCACATCTCTGCTCTCTGGAGTCTCATTGCAAACTACAGCAACACACAAACATGGGTCAGGCCAGCAGCTGGGGCTGCTTGTGCTGGGTGCCAAGGTGGGTCTTAACGAGAGTATTCCTTATCCAACCGCCTTTCTCTTGATATTTTTGAGGTAAGTCCATTCATGTACTTAAAATATATTCCTACTGGGCCTACAAAATAATTGTTACCTTACATCTCAAATAAGGCTTTCCTGGAAAACGAAATTGCTATTGCTGATTGACCACGGCCCCCATGCACACATGCAGCACTCGGGAAGCCTCGTGGGCAGCATCCTGCGGCCCTGACAGAGGCTGCTCCAGAAACCYGGGGRTGTCCAGGCTCRGACTGGGGGTTCAGAGCCAGCCCARTCACCTGGAGGYTCCTGGCTCCCAGGGMCAGGAGCTTTGATCCCTGTGAGGACACAGCTGGGCTCCACACGATGCTCCAGGTGATCCAGGAGTGTTCCCAGAGTCAGGATCCAGCTGCTGCCCCCGAGCTGGAGGGCTCCCCTTGCCAGTCCCACCTGGGATCGTGCTGTGAGCAAACCCACGGGGCTGGTGTTGTCCTCTTCTGCTTTCATCAGACTGGCGAATGTGCAACAGAATATTTTGTATATTTAAAAGGCAATCAACTTGCTACTTCCACATTTGCCTAATAAAATTACATACTTAGAGTCAATACTACTTCATGCTCAAAATCTACAAGGAACTAACGGCAAGTACTCTACTTTCTAGGTCAATAGAGATTATAAATTAAAAAAATATGGTGGCTCAGTCCAAAATTTTACCATGGGTCAGACCCTTGATAATTACTTCACAAACAGCTGCTGAAAAAGAAAACCCAGTTTCAGCTCCATTTAATGACATTTCAGGTAGAATCATCAGCGGATAAAGTTGCACTACATGGTAATGCACATCAAATTAAGAGGTGTCATCAGTGGCATGCTGACAGTGAACCATGAGGAGATGGTTTGGAAGGATGGGAGAGAGAAGCCGATGTGTCTCAGCTTTGGGAAAGGAAATGAAACCAGGGCTGGTCTGTGCAAACCTGCAGTGTCCCAGGGCAGGAATTRGAGGGGCAGCAGTTTAAACTTCTGACAGATCTGCTGGATTTAGCTACCAAAAGAGAAGCTGCCTAAGGAGAATCAAAGCCTACTTGCGCCAATCGAAATTAAAAGTGTGGCAAGATGGGTGTGAGACTCATTGTGGAAACTCCATTCATTAGCAAAGATCAGGGAAAGATTTTAAAAACTGCGCAGGAGGTATCTGTGTTAATATTCCTCAACTGAAATTCTCTGGTACTGAATATAGAGATGACAATCTCAATGCTAATTAYCAAGCATGATCTGCGCAGGTTGCACATGGTGATGGCAGTAAATGAGCTTTCCAGACAGTGAAATGACAAGTTTCCCTGCTCTYGTTCAGAAAAATATCCATTCCCATGACAAAGATGAAAATAAATTCCAGCGTATTCCTAGTCACTTTGTTCCTAACAGTAAAAGGTTTTTTGATGCAGTCGGTAGCAATGTACATCCTGAAGTCCTTCTACTTAGCATGTTTTTGTAGTTTATTTTACAGCAAAGCCAGGGTTAGAAYACACGCCACGGAGAGTTTTTGCCTGGAGCATGAAGACACCTTCCTGGGGTGATGTACTCCAGTGCCACGTGGAGGAGGCTCTCATTAGTTTCAGGTACCCATAGAAAAATGTCTTTATAAATAACATCATGCAGCAGCACTTGGCCCAAGCTGATGTCGCATTAGGTCCTTGCTGGGCTGCAGTCCCTCAGCGGCGCAGGGAAGGAAGGAACGGCTTCTCTGCCTCCTCACAGTCTGTGTTGGCAGCACAGTGCCCCGTGAAGTCCGTCCCTCTACGACTGCTTGTCCCAAGAAGGCCCGTGTGTCGGGCTGTGCCGCACGGGGAGCAGGTCGTAGTGACCAGGAATGTGACTGTTCCTAGGCAGGTCGTASGGGCTCTGGAGGTAACTGGCGCTCCGACTGCGGGTGTCTTGGACTATGCTGACAGTGGGCTCTGGGGASCAAAGAGAACTGGGTTGGGGTGACCAGCAGCAGTCCCAAAACTCCTGATCATTGCGGGTCCCTTGGAGCTCAAGACAGCCACCACCAGGGCTCTTAGCTCCCCAAACCAATGCTCTGGCCTTCCCCCCACCCCCTGCCAGTGCCTCCCTGCACCGTGCCAAGTCCAGGCTCTTGATGCCAGGAAAGGGGAAACCCAGCACCTCCCCCAACCCCCCCGTGCTTACCAACTTCGTAGATGTTTTTATTGGCTGTTGATGAAGTTGGCATTTCGGAATACGGGGACTCCCTGTGCCCAGGCGATTTCATTTCCACGTAGCTGCTCTCGGAGTGTTTGCAGGTTAAAATGGGGGGGTCTTTAATGGTGGCGTATGGGTTTTCACTGCTGTTCAGGGAACAAGTGCTGGAGCTACACACGGATTCTTTCATATAATCTGCAAAACAAGAGCGGAGTGGCAGCGTTAGGATCATTAGCTTAAATAGGTTAATTACAAATGAGCCTCTGCAGGAAGGCTGGGGGGGACAAGGGGGCAGGGGATAAGGAAGATCCTTGAAGCCTCCAGCACAGACACCCGGCGCTTGTGCTCAGGGTGTTCCAGACCATTGCATCCAGCACTCACTAGCAGGAAAGAAATGAAAACCTCAGTACTGATGGTTTTCCTGTGAAAGGTTCTAGTAGCTGTTTACTGCAGTATTTAATTTGAGGTGGCAATCCTCTCCCTCCCTCCCCTAATTCCTCCAGAGCCGTGTTTATCCCGCTCCGTTTGCCCTGCAGACCCGGGCGCGGCTGTGGGCACTCGGCTCTGCAGGCGGGAGCTCCTGCTGGGACCCGGGGTGCTCAGCCAGCTGCAGGTGAGTCCTGGRGCCTCGCTCACATCCAGTGCCCTGTGCTGGAGTGCACAATATTGCCACAGGCTCAGAACTGCACCGGTGCAGCCTCTGCAAKTGCAGCTCCTGCCAGTTTGGGGTTATCCAGCATCCTACAAACGGGAATGCTCAGGTTTCTACAGAGGGGGACAAGCCTCCATCTGAGCCTCACTTTTGTCTTTTTTTCCCCCTTTTGCTGTAGACATCTCCTGCTCTTCTCCCCTGGGCTGGAGAGAAGGCGACGGAGGCACTACATGGGGAGAACGAGGTTGGCATGACAGCTGTGACCACCGGCCTGCCCGCTCGGTGCCCCTGGCTGGGACAGGCCAGGCTGCTGCAAGGTACAGTGCCAGTCTTGCTTTAAAAATAAAAAACAATAGAGAATAAATAGGTCTTAACATTGACATTCAAGAACGTGCCATTGCTGCTGTGTGCATCCTGCTGGGCAGTGCCAGTAATTTAGAATTAGAGCGATGCAATGAAAGATGAAGCATTTTCTTGTGCTGGGTTACAGTACAAAGGCAGATCCTGGTATATATGAAATACTCCCGGTGAAATAGGGGGACTTGCAAAATAGCTGCAATCCCAGCTGCCCCCGCTGTCTAGTATGGGAGACAAAAAGAGAAATTCAGGTTAAGAAATAGACAGACAACACGACATCGCTTCTCCRCTCCAAACCTCGGCTCCGAGCCTGCCAGCCCCGTCCTGCTCCCTTAGGCCAGGGTTGTGTGTGATTGTCCCTCCTGCAGCCCTGGGCTTGTGCCTGTGTCCATCACCCTGGCCTGGTGCCCCTGGTGCTGGTTCAGCCCTGAGGGARGTGCTAGATCGTGCCCTGCCACCTGCAGCCAGGGGTTGCCTTCCTGGGCTCTGATTTCAGTGGTATCAGCAAGTCTGGAGAGCCCTCAGCTTCCAGTGTTGGTTAGAGCAGCTCCCTGGGAAGCCCCACTGCACACAAAGCAGCTGGGAGCATCAGGGCTGGGGAGGCTGGCAGAGCCTGGCACCAGTGCAGTGTTTATTTGGTTATAAAACTCAGAAACTCCTTGTCTAACATCAGCCTGGGTGAGATGAGCAGTGCCTCTGCTACCAAATGAGCCACGCCTAGTCTGGTACAGCCAGGAGATGGGACCAAAGCCACACCAATACTCCTGGCTTTTGGCTGCAGAGTTTGTCCCTCCAGTGTCACCAACCCCATCCTGGTACAGGTCAGGGGAAAACTGCCCCATCCCATCCTTCTACAGAGAGATGGAGCCACCCTGTGAGACCAAAGGCTTCTGCACATGAGTGAGCTCAGGGTTGGCTTTTGCTGTGCCTGTGACTGAAATTCAGGTGCCACAGGCTGGGCTCTGTTAGAGGTGAGGAAGCCACAGATAAACAAATGAAAGGCTCAGCTGCACCTGCCAGCACATTACAGCTCCTGGTGGCTGCTCCAGGTACACAGAGCTCATTAGGAGAGCCTTTAATGAGCCAGGTCTGCATTTTGGGGTGAGGGGACATAAAGATTACTACAAACTGGCTTCTCAGTTTCAAGCAATGCTGCTGAGCAGATGCTCACAGGGCTAAAGGCAGGATTCCCTCCCCAAGAGCCCCCTGCAAAGCATTGCCTGTCGGCACCACGGCTGGGAGGGAACAAATCAAACCAGAGCTGGCTGTAGATAAAGGAAATGTTGGTTAGAAAGGACTGCTGGCTACTACAGCAAAGGGCAGAGTGAGGATTCCTGCTCCTGCAGAGCTGCAGGTAAATAACTGTATGGTTTGTTTATGGAATTGGGCACTTTGGAGCTGGCAAAGGCAAAAATCCCAGCACATCAGCTATTTTATTTCATCCAGCTCAGCTACTTTTATTCTCCCTAAGCTAAAATTCACCTGTACTGCAGTTAGGGCTGACATTACCTCCCAGGCAGGTGTCCATTAGCACTTCCCTTCCCAGGATGGGTCAAACACCGCTCAGGCWGCCCAGACTTGTTTGGCCTCTCCCAGGAACTGCCTTTTCCCAGGAGATGCTGACAAACAGCATGCCTGGGAGCCCATTCCCGCTGACGTAAACAGGAGCTCTGTGTCTGCCTGGGATCAGACCTCTGCTTTGGACACAGCATATTTTATGGAGCACCAGTGGATGTTTGGGATTCTGGGTACACCAGGGAGTCWTTAGCACTCAAGAAACATTATGTGCAAGATCATGTAGGGTTTAACTCTAAAGGCTGGAGAAGCAGCTGAGTTACTTTGTTATTAAGGTAATTTGGGGATGATTAAGCAGCCTGGCATCAATTGTCAAATTTTGCTTTAGGAATTAGTTTGCGCAGAACAAAGTATGTAGAGATTCTCAGCCTGTGGTGCTGCCGGCCATGTGTTAGCCCTGGCTGTGCTGACTCCTCATCCCTCCATGCCACAGGGCCCAGCTCTGGTGGGGGGTGAGAACTCTGCCACACAGTGCTGGGACTCACTGGAAGCTGGGCTTCGAGAGAAATATTGGGAATATGCTCTAATTTTGAAATCCCTGYCTTGTGCGTTGCCTGGATACCGATCACCAGACCTTTGGAGGGTTTATTTTTGTTAGCAGGGACTGGAAATGTCCCTCCCACAGACTGGGYTCCTCTCTTGTGCCCTGAATTTCCCCTGGCACCCTGGTGACAAGCCTTGGAACGCCCAGCCGAGGTGGCAGCGCTCAGGAAAGGTGCTGTGCCCAGGGAGAAGGTGCTCTCCTGCTGTTTAACCCATCAGGGATGGAGTGTCCCTGACCTGGCCAGCCTTGGCTGCTGTGGGGACAGTGACAGAGTGAGCACCATTGCTGCTCTGCAGAGTGACCCAGGGGACACATCCTGCACAACAGCCAGGGAGCCACTCCGAGCTGAGCCCCTCATCCCTGGGGTCTGTGCTTCTCTTTGCTGGGATTTTCCTGGCTCTTTGCAAAGCGTAGGACTTAAAATGGAAGTGCCTGAGGTCACATCATTCTGTCACTGCAGCAGTGTTCATTAAAAAAAAAACCAAACCCTCTAAAAACCCAAGGACTCAGCTGCAAGGAAAAGCTTGGGAATGGCATCACTGAGCACCACGCACAGGAGAGAAACTGCTCGGAAACCCTTGTGCCTGTTGAGCTCCTGTCACCAGCCCCAGGGCTGGCATGGGGACAGCCAGCCCCTCTCTGCTGCTCTCAGACTCTGGGCTTAGCACCTGGCAATCCAAACCTGTGTGCCCGAGCCCCTGGAGCCACCACACCCCTGGTGGCACAGGGGACACCCCTCTGCCTGTGCCAGAGCCCCCAGCTCTCTGCTCAGAGAACTGGGGAAGCAGGAGGTGGCCCAGTGTCACCACAGCCTGGCCTCAGCCTCAAGCCCCCTGTGCCCCCTCCCTTCATGGCTCTGTCTGGTCCAGGGGCACCAGAGGCCACTTCTAAYGGCAGGACCAGCCTTCCCCAGTCAGACCACACTGGAGGGAAAAGGSATGGTTTTAAAATTGTTGAAAGCAGATGAAAACCAAGCACTCGCCTGCCAAGTCCTTTTGCTGACAGAATCCAATTSTTTGGGACTGGGAGTTTCTTTCTCTTTCTCCATTTTTATGAGGAATGTGGTGAGTCAGGGCCTGGCAGGGCACAGAGAGCTCACTCTGAGCATTGGGCACATTCCCAGCTCCTCCTGGGAGGAGACTCCCCTGGCACTGGGGGTGCCCACAGCTGCCACCAGAGCACAAGAGCTGACCTTACCAGCGGCCTGGGGAACCTGCAGCCAGCCAGAGACAGCTGCTTCTGAGAGACCTCAGCCCCTAAAAACGCCTGCAGGTGAGCTCCCAAACCTCCCTGGCAGCCAGGGGTGTCCCTGTGTCCCAGCACCCTGCCTTGCCTGTCTGAGCAGCCACAAACAACTCCAGCTGTCCCGACCTGGCTTCTGAGCCTGATTTTTCAATTTATAAGGAGATAAGCATGTAAAGGAAACGGTTCAGATCCCAAACATTCAAGAAAATATGCAGCAGCTGAAAATGCATTTCACAGTTTGCTGTCCCTGTGATTTTTTATCTCTGACTCCGCTGGTCCCTCTCTGTGTGACTGTGCCTATGGATGGGAGTTCCTGCTGCACATATTTAAAGCATCTTGAAACTCAGTAAACTCAGGAATTAGTTTAAACTAATTAAGTTAATAGCTCCATGTAAAGAGAATAACTGGCTCTATTGTAATTCTTCTTTTGAAAAAGARAATCATTGAAGTAGCTGAAACCAGTGGATTGAGTATCTTGTATACCATGAATCACATATATCATATACATACATAATCCTTTCAATATTTTAATTTAGCTTTATCAAGAAAGAGTTGCTCATGGACTCTTGGTTTCCTTTGGTGATTCTGTGTGGTAAGGTGATGTTTTAGCAAATATTGSATCTGTGTATTTTGAAAACAGCAGCTACAAAGTGATTATTGATCTCCAGGCCTGGCTGTAAGCTGGTTAATGCTTTTTATGTGGAATGGCTTTCGATATTCCTTGTTAGCTGAGACAAAGGTCTGGCTCTGGAACACCTCAGCCATCCAGAGCAGGGGGTTCTGTCCCTGTGACTCAGCCAACAGCAGCCTGAGGGCGTTACAGGAGGAGGCTGTGGGGTATTTCCCTTCTGGGCTTGCTGAGGGACATTCCCAGGCACAACAGCCTTGGATTCAGATCAAGGACCTCAGCCTGAGAGCTGCCTGCTCCCCGTGAGACAGATTTCTTGCTCCATCTTCTGGAGCACAAGCTCAGTGTGCTGAACCYCAGCCCAGCCTGCCAGGAGCTGTGGGAATCACTGTGCCCAGTGCTCCTGTGCTCCASGCATAACTGGAATATTCAGAATGTAAACCCGGAGGAAAAGGGAAATGTAAAACCTCCGGGCCCTGTGCTCGTGACTCGTCTGAGATCCCGTTTCAGAGCTGCCCTGGAGTCAGTGCCCAGCGTGGTGCCAGCGTGAGGGGCCCTCGGCCTCGGGGAGGGCTCTTCTCCAGCTCTGCTCCGAATCCCTCTCAGCACAGGGCAYGAGCAGGGGCAGCTTCTCTCCCAGGAGCTTTCTATAAGCTCAGGATGGCCAGGAGCCAGGAGCAGGGACCAACACCAGTGTGCCCCAGCAGCTGCCCCAGAGCCCTCGGCGGTGGCCGGCGGGTCCTACCCGAGCGTGCCCTGAGCTGAGCCCTCCCTGTGCCCTGTGCCCTGTGCCCTGTGCCCTGTGCTGCAGAGCCGTGGCCCTGGCAATCCTCTCATCCACAATTCCCGGGCCCAGGAGTGCCGGGAGCCAGGCAGGCAGCTCGGGGTGGGTGGGGGCTCTGTCCCTCCCTGCCTGGCCGCAGGGCTCCTAGCTCACCTCTTCTAGGACACCCTCCTCACACCTGGCCAGGGRTCTGCAGCTCTGGATACCATACCTTTGAAGCTTTTTTCCATTATGTATGTGTTCTGACGTCTATCCATCCCACAAGCACCTGCATAAAAATGATATATAACGGAAAACAAATAAATATTTATGTAAATTGGATCGCTTTGACTACTGAGCAGCATATATTCTTCCCTCTAAATTGTACATCGAGGCCCTCATTTAGGGAGGCTCTTAAGCACATCCTCAGCTGTGAGCACACTCTCAGCTCCAGCGGGGAGGCTGGAATTATGCATRTGCTTAAGAGCTTCCCTGGAAGGGAGAGCTCTCTGCAGCAGGGTTACCAGAACAGCCATCCATCAGGAGATCAGGACAAAAACCATCTGCTGATACATTCATTACTGGAATGGTGTGAAAGAAGCCTAAACCACGCCCTTTCAAATCTGAGTCTGCAGCACTCTSTGACTAATTTTAGGCTTTGTTTTGTTTGTGGAGAGTGTGTTCTTTAACTCACAGCCTTAGGTGTGTACAATCTGAAATTACCTACTATGACTTTGCTCCTGAATTTGCACAGTTCAGTAACTGTGACAACAGTCCCTGTGTGACCACTGTGCTCTGACAGTGCAGCACCAGGAGCAGAGAGCTGACAGCAAACACTTCTGCCCTGCACAGCTCCAGAGGAACTCACTGTTCCTGATGGAAGCTGAGACAGAAGGGGATGGGGACATTTTCCATTTTCACTCCTGCAAATTACCCTAGATATCAATCAAAAGGAAAATCTAATGTAAGCCTTTAAATCTTTTTAGCTATAGAGTCTGGTATTTCCTATTGACTGGGACAATCAATACAGATTTGGTTACTGAGAAATGTCTTTGTGGCTTATGGGATTCCCACTCAAGTAACTCAGTTACACTGGGAAAGAGCCCCACAACAGTGTGTCCCAGAGGTCTCCCAGCTATTTGTCCTTGCGTGTCCTCTGGTCTCTGCAGAAAAGTTGTCATGGCCTTGGGCAATGCTGTACCAGCTCCATTTTCATGACAGCTTGCTTTTTTTTTGCTAAATAAGGGAAATGACTAAATTAGACAATAAACGTGTTATTGGCACATCACAGACAGACCAGCCGTTGGCTCTGGTTCTCAGTGCCCATCTCTGAGCACAGGAGAGGGGCTGGTGGCACTCCACTGGCTCTCTGGGGTGGAGCTCTTCYTCTTCTGACCACGAGTGACCTCCCCAGTCCATTCGAGCACCTCTGCTTTGTTCTCAGCTGGTGCTGAGCCAATCCCAGACTGACCCCAGTGCAGAGGGCAAGGCAGATGGGAGGTTTGGGCAGCTCTGTCTGGGAGCAGGATGAGCTCTGTGCCTTTTCTCTCCCAACTCCTACTCAGGCAGAGTAGGAGTGAGGAGGATGGAGCTGATCCATCCCCTGRCCCTCAGCCACAGGGCTGGGGCTCCCTGTGCCAGCAGTGGCACTCCCCAAGGCCACCCCGGGGACCCCACATCCTCCTCCTGCTAGGGCTGAGCAAACCTCCGAGGGCAGCAGTGTCCAAGCAGGATTTGGGGCTCACCCCATGGAGCAAGGCTGGGAGGAGCAGCTGGGGAGCTTCCAGCTGGGTCGGGGGGGAAGGAAGGGGCTGTACCCACAGAGGGGCATGGCAGGAAGCAAAGGGGACCCAGGGCTGACCCGTGGGGYGGTGCCCTGCCCTTGAGAGGGCCACACGACCCCTCAAAACCCTTCCCAACCTTCTCCCAGTAATTTTGCCTTTAGTTTCTCTTTTATCTGTTATAATACTGTGGCTTTATCACCCATTTTTTTTGTATTCCTCAGGAGGTGAAATGAATAATGGATACATTATTTTTTTAAACTGCAGAAGAAGTTAATGTGAAAAAGTCCTAAACAGGCCAGGGATCTGGCACTTCAGGAAAGTACAGGTGTAAACTGGAAGTTAAATTATCTGCTGGRGTGAAATCAGGATCTCAGCTGGAAATTGTTTTCCACACCTTTGGGCTTTGAGAAAAAAGTGAAGTCAGCTGTGAATCAAACTTATGGTTTTTGGTCCCCTGGAATAAATGGAGCTTTGAGTCACTCCCGATGTGCTGCAAATCCCGCTTTAGTCTCTGCATCCAGAACTGCTGTTAAAAACCACTACAGACAAACCCAGCCCTGCCTGCAGCCACAGTGCCCAGTGCTCCAGCTGATGAGACAGTGACCTTTCCTGGGCTCAGGTCAGGGATTTAGGAGTCTTGACCTGCTTGGGACTGGAGCTGGAGGGGGTCTGCCACAGCTCAGTGCAGACTGGACTAGAGCAAGAGGGATCAGTCACAGGGCAAACAATTCCAGTTCTGCAACACCAGACAGAGAAAATGCAAGGACAGTTCCCTGAATTCCCTGCCATTCCCTGAAGCAAGGACTAGGCTGCCTTGGGCAGGCAGTGACACAGGAAGGTGACAAAGCTCCCTCTTCCTGGCACCACAGAGTCCCCAAACTCCGATGTCTCAGTCCCAGTCCATGGGAATTGTGCTCCTCCCCAGGAACAGACACTATCGGCTCTCTGACAAAGCCTGCTATGTGGAGCTCACAAGCAAATGTGCAGCAGTAAAAATTCAGGCTTTGTCCTTGCATTTCCCACTTGCAGAGAACATTAACCTGCAAACAAAGTCCTGCAAAACAGGGAAAACATCTCAGTCCGGTGAGACCCACTGCAATTCAGAAAATCCCCAGCACTGCAGGTTTTAGGAGATGAGTGTTCAGGTTAATTTTGATGTGGCTATTCTCACAATTCCCTTTCCCCAGCTATAATTCATATTTAGGACACTTGCAGTTAACAGGCCCACAGGCATTTCTGAGAGCCTGGTGCTCCTCCTCTGCTGGGTCCCAYCCTTTGGGATCGCCGCCGCAGCCAGAGGAGTTGCTGGCTGAGGAACCAGGGCACAGTTTCCATCCACTCCAAATTTCTCTTCCATTTCTCTTCCATTTCCCTTTCTCTCGCCCCTCTTTGGCTCACTCCCACATCTGCTCAGAGTGACTCTTGACAGGGTCACAGTAGAGGAGCTGGGCAGTTGTCCACTGCTATTTTAGTTCTTTTTAACTGAATCCAGCTCTGCCAAATGCTTGGCTGCTCTTCCAACACGAGTTGGAGCATCTGTGTCATAAAACCAAGGCTGATGATGGGATGGGAAGGTGGTACTTCAAGGCCTGATGCAGTCTGAAGGTCAAGATTCACTCTGTGGCCTTGTTAGGCTTAACTTTTGTTTTATGTTTATAATTCAAAGTTGGAGATTTTCTTCAGAAATTTACACAAGAGAAACCTGCAGATTTTATTACCCAACAGTGATAGCAAGGAATGCAAACTTTTTATTTTTATACAAAAATGCCTTGATCTGAGCAAGGATTAAAYATTAAGGAAGTTAGTGTGAGCAGGCATTAATTCCAGTACTGAAAAGAAAGAAAAAATATCTAATTTTCATTAATTAGTTTGAAAAAAGAAAGAAAAGGTTATCTTGGATGCAAAATGCTATGGGAAAAAAAATGAGTGTGTTGCTCGAGGCCACTTAGCTAAAGTATTTATCACTTCTAGATCATTCTTGCTGCAGAGGCATTTAGCATCCTTTCTGCTGGTAAAATAAAATGCATGAATGCAGGACAGATGTGGCACACAATGCAGGACAGCACAAGTTAAACACAAATAAAGCAAACAGTGTGCAAAAAAAAGCAGCAAAATGGTAAAAGGAAAATTAACTTGATTTGAGCAGCGTTTTGAAACCCTCAGACAGAGCCCCTTCCATGTCACACACAGATTAGCACAACAGTGGTTCTGCAGCTTGTTTTACAGAAAACATTGATGGTTTAAAGGATGAAAAGATTTTGCACTGAAGCTTGACACGTTTGTGATTTTCCTGATGCAGGGAAGGGTTATCCTTGGGGTGAGGTGTGGTGTGGGACCAGGGGCRGGGGCAGGACGTGATGCCTGGTGCTGCCCTGTGTTCGTTCCTTTGCTACATGAGCTGTGAGATAAAAATCCCATAATACCCCTTAATGCTGCACTTTCCCTGCTCCTGCATATTTTCAGGGACATATTTCTAATCCCAGCAAAGGAAAGGGCAAATGTTTTCTGCCACTGGCAAGCCAAACTCCAAGTGCTCAGAGAGGAAAACAAATAGCATCCAAAGCACTAAATCTGGGCAGGATTTGAGCTAAGAGCTGCTAAAAACCCTGTTAAAAGTCAAGCCAGGGAGAATAAACTCTGAGCAGGCAATTAAACTTCACTCTTGGCTTGGTTGCACTGGCTGGTGGTTCAGAATTGCCATGGAATGATTTACTGGGAGATAAGGGAGCATTGCATGCCCCAGCTCCCACAGAGGCTCCACACCTTCATCAAGATGCCAGTATTTAGTGCTCAGCTTTATTAAGCATGAAAGGGGGGAAAAAAAGCCAAATTTGAATTTTTAATGYCCTGAGTTAGTCTTTAAAAAAAACATTTACAGAGTAGATGATAGTGATTCAACAGAACAGCCTTGGAAGGGAGACTGAAATGAATATTGACTCTGCTCTCCCACTCCGTGGTTTGTGGTAAAGGAAACMATTTTTAATTCTTAATCTTTCACTGCTGGCAATTCTGATTGTGAAATAAAGACAACACCAATATTTCTCATTGTTTTTAATGCCTTTATGAAAGGCTGATTTGGCTTTGGAATYGCTCTAAAGTCTACTAAAGTGATTAAAGTGTTTAAAAATTACTGACCTAGTTCATTCAGATAGCTGTAGGGTCTCCAGTCTGCAGTTTCTCTGTCAAGGATTTTGTTACTGAGCTGTTCAAAAAGTATGATAATGGGTTAATGCTGGAAGAAACAGACAGTTCCCACCCAAGACGACAGCCCAAGGATGTCAGGAATAAAAACGGGAGGTGATTACTGCCTTGGCCTCACCATCTCAGCCCTTTATCTGTGTGAGTTGTTCACTAGCATTAGGGAAAATCACAAAGGAAAGTCACTTCACCAAGCCATGAACACAAACATGCTGGAAAACAGGATTTTCTTGGGAACCAYGACTCGGATGCCTGTGGACATGGAGTGACACGCTCCAAAATAACCCGTGGAGATGGATGGATCCAA